TGTGTGTGTGTGTGTGTGTGTATGTGGGGGGGCATGTATGCGCCACATCTGTGTGGGTGCCCAAGAGGCCCAGAAAACAGCATCAGAGCTCCTGGAGCTGGATTTTTACAGGAGTCTGCTGTAAGCTACCCAACCTGGATGCTGGGAACGGAACACTGGTCCTCTGGAAGAACAACAACGGCTTAGCCACTTAGCCGTCTCTGCAGCCCCGACGCTGGCTCAAATCAAGAGAAGAAAAGCAGACTCGTCCACCAAGAGCAACTTACAAGTCAGACACCTAGCAAAGGGGAAACTACATGAGATGAAACATTTGAGCCATAAATATCAGGGAAGTTGGAAGAAAAGCTAACTGTGCACCATTAGAACAATTTTATACCTTGGTGATAATATACCCATGGAAACCTAAAACCTGATCAGGAGGAGGTTCAGCAGAGATGGTCCCTTAACCTCTGAGGTCACTTTCTCCTCTTAAAATGAGGGCTCACAGGCCCTTATAAAGACTCAAATGAGATCATGTATGCAATGCCCTTTATATACTGCCTGGCAGAAAGGCAGGCATCCAATAAATGGTAGCTGCCAGCATGAGTCATCTTGATTATTAATGAGTTACCTGAGCAGCCTTGGCAAATGTTGGCCCGTGGTAGCGGCCACCGATGCGCAACACATCCTCTGTGCAGTAAAAAAACTCAGAGAAGCCATAGAACTCGCTGTTGTTGAAGTCAATTGGAGACTGGTAAATGCCATTCAACGAGGCCTGGCTGGTGTTGGAGCGGGCCAGCAGGGGGCTCAGCATCGCCCTACAAGTGGCCCAGTCCCCCTTTCCTCGGACATGCAGGACCTGGCTGTTCCTCTCCACCACATCTGTCAGTCCCACAGGCAGACAGGGGTCCAGAAATGGATTGTCAGGACTCAGGCCTGTCTTCTGGCCCAGCAATCTGTCACAATGACAAAAACAGACAGAACATTGAGAGTGCTGACCCTGACCTCTCCTGAGAACTAAGTTCACTTCACAAATGTCTTCTGATTGTCAATGACAACCTTAGCAACAAGGGCTGAGTGTTACTATACAGCAGCAACATCTGCATACTTAAGTAAATTACGTTTAGAAAAAGAGAGATGTACCAGTGATGGATCTCACTCAACCCTACATCAACATTTATTTCCCAGTCTACGTCAAACAGGAGCTGTGAATCTGCTGCTCTCCCTCCGGCCTTCATTCCCACAGACCTCTGAAAAGTGCCAGGGGTTCAGGTTTAACACACGGGGCGCTGGAGAGACGGCTCGGTGGATAAAGTGGGAGGATCTGAGTTTGAATCCCGGAACCCACGGGACAGCCAGCTGAGGAGACACGTGACTGTAACCCAGTGACTTACAAGGAGACAGGAGGCAGACATAAAACTCCCTGCAAGCTAAAGGGCCAGCTGGCCTGGTGAGCACAGTAGTGGACTGTCAGAACACGGTCCAGGAGTGGAGTCGTGTGAGAATTCTGAGTGCCTGTGAGAACACTCCAAGGAAACAAGAGTCTTGTGACCTTAGTTTCTTCAAAACACAGAACTGTTCTTGGACTGTGTCTTCATACTGCTCCCAGGTGTAGCGGATAGGAGTGAGTTTACTTCGGATAATTCATCATTGCTTGCTGCTGTTCAATTAAATGTTTCGACTCTCTCTTATATGCCTCCATAGAGAAACATGCTTTTGTCACGTGTGGCTTGTGCTTGTGATTGCATACAGCCTGAACTCACGAGAACTTCACTCATGTGACCTTTCTTTACCCTCAGAGTACAAATTGTCTGAGGCTCTGATTAAAGCTGGCTGTTACATGAGGCTTTGGTCGCTTCATTTATCGGCTCCGCTCTCCCAGATCCCACTGCTTTAGGGCACGGACGGCGGACAACAAAAGAGACCCTGCTCTCCAACAAGGTGAAGGTGAGGACTGAGGCAAGACCTCAAGTGTCCCATGACAAACACATGCCCACATCCACACCTATCAGCATGTACACACACACACCCCATATACACACAACAGTACACACACGCCCAACTGGGAAGAGACAAAGAGGGAAGAATTCAGAGAGGAGAGCTTCCTGAAGAGGGAACCATGGCAGAGGCACAGTGACGTCTGGCCTTGAGTGAGTGGTGCTGCGATGTAGCAGGCAGAGTGACACCTCCAGAGAAGGAATCACAGATCCCTCAGTGTAAAATGGGAGGAGGGGCAGGACTTGACTCCTTGCTTGGATCATACAGTTCTACGGCTCTAGTCTATACTTGTCTAGCAATTGTGTTCTCGCTGCTAAGGAGATTAACGTGCAGATCTGGCCAAGGACAGAACTCACATGGAGACCACTGGTACCTGCATTAGTTGTTCATTATCAGTTCCTACAAAGGCAGGTATGAAGGCATGGACTCTGCGGAGTGGAGATGCACGAACAGAAACTGAAGGAGGAAACCAACTCAAAGCCTTAGGAGCCAGGGATCCCCAGTTCTCACAGCAGCACCAGCACGAGCAATGAGGTCCCCAGCTCAGGTCAGCTTGTGCGGACTAACAGAAACACTCTGAGGGCTGTTCATGCAATCACCCAGAATGCCGGGATCCCCCAAAGCTCCGTGAACTCCCAGTGACGGGGGCTTAAACAGCTAAAAAGATGGATGAGACAGTATTCAACATTCTCTAAATCTAAGACAACTACTATGGAGAAATTATTACAAGTGGGATACACCAGTACCTCTCTAGGTAGAAAAGAACCGTTGTTTATTGTACCTTCAATAATACAATGATAAATAACTTTAAAACAAACAAATAAGAACAATTACTTCATAGTTATTCATTATGGCCTGAAGGTATTGAAATGAAAAATCAGTGATCTCGGGGCTCAGCTGTTAAGAGTACTTCCTGCTTTTGAAGAGGACCCAAGACCAGTTCCCGGCACCCACATGAGGCGGCTCACAATCAAGCGTAACTCCAGCTCCTGGGGATCCAATGCCCTCTTCTCATGTCTACAGGTACACCTACATACATTCAAACATACATGTACATATAAATAAAAATAAAAACAAACCTTTTTAAAGAAATCAGTCATCTTTGCAGTTCTGGATGAAAAACTGACTATTCAAGACTTGGACACTATTTTAAAAGCAATTTAACTTTATGCACTTGTTAAGTTTAATGCACACAAGCAAATCTAACTCTCACACGAGAGGAGCTAATCCACTTTTCCTAGCCGTAAACATCTCATGATGTCAGGTGTGGTTGTGGATACAGCAAAATAACACAAAAGATGGACATTTTTGCCAGCCGTATTACTAAAGGGCAGAATGTACCCTTAGGGCAAAGCAGGGGCTGAAATGGGTCCCTAGAAATATGGCGGGAAAGGAGGAGGCAAACTTAGCCATTGTAGCTGGATGTCACCATTTTTCCCTAACATCTGCCGTCCGGCAGAAATGAGGATTCCGTGTCAAATGTACCTGTTTCTGTTGAGCGTTTCATTCAGCACAAGCTCTTCATAGCGCTGCCGGGCAAAGTTGCCTCCAAAGCCCAGAAAGGTGGTGACGTAAACCCTGTACACATGCTCCGTGTGCTGCACGTCACAGCCCAGGTTGAACTCGGCCAACAGGATCTTGGCCGCTTCTTCCTGTAACACATCAAGAGAAAAAAAGAGGGTTCCAGTCCTTTCCAGAGAGCGGTGGCACTGTGAAGCCATGTGGCTCCACTTCTGTGACCACTATTTAAAATGGCCTTTCATCTCATGGCCAGGCGCAGTAATGCACTCCTGTATTCCCAGCACCCATGCAGCTGAGGCAAGGGGATCACACATTCAAAGACAGGGTCCCGTGTGTGTGTCTGGGAGGTCATTTCCTGAGAGGGTTAACTGAAGAGAGAGGACCCACCCTGCATGTGGGCAGTACAATCCACAGGTTGGGGTCTTGACCGAACGGAGAGAGAGAGGCAGCTGAGCACTGGCGTTCTTCTCTCTCTGCTTCCTGACTACAGATGCCACGTGACCAGCTGCCTCACTCCTCCCACGCCTTCCACATCATGATGGACTGTGTCCCTCAAGATGGAAGCCAAAGTGACCCTTCCTCGGACATTCACTCTGTGACAGCGACAAGAAAGGCAGCTGGCACAGGGAGGAGGGTTCGTATATGGTGGATGCCATTTTCTGGTATGGACTTCTGTAGTTTCCAGTTCTCCACAATGGGAATCTACTATTTTCATAATTAGGAAAAAATCCTTTAGCAAAGAAAAGATCATCGTGGAATCTATTTTATGACCTTGTCTAGAACTATTCAAAAAGCTTTACTATTTCCTGTGACAGGCTTGGGCATTGGGAAAGTTCAGTTTTATCTTCAAAATAAAAGAGGTTTGGGGGTGTTTTTTGTTTTGTTTTGTTGTTTGGGGGTGTTTTTTGTTTATTTGTTTCAAGCAGGGTCTCACTATGTAGCCATGGCTGGCCTGATACTCACTACGTAGACTAGGATAGCCTTAAACTCAAAAACTCACTTGGCTCTGCCTCCCAAGTGCTGGGATTAAAGGGGTGTGCCACCAACACCCAGCCTTGCTTTGGGTTTTCCACTTTAAATGTAGAGATTAAATTATGTCCCTGAGCTGGTATTTCAATGCCATAGCAAAGCCCCTCTTCTGGTCTAATCAATCCCGTTCACCCTCATACCCTGTCTTATCCCTACCCCTGCTATGAAGGACCATCCCAATCCCAATGTACTTCTTGTGTAATTTTGTTTAATGCGTATTATTGCGAAATGGAAATAACTATCTGGATTCTGTGTTTTTAATTTGTGAACATATTACTGCACCTAGCAACTCTACTCCCAGATTAATACCCAAGAGACTGAAAAACTTAGGTCTACACAAACATGTGTTCATGAATATTCACAGCACCACTATCCGTAACAGCCTAAGTGTGGAAGCAGCTCCACTATGAATCCAGTGATGAATGAATGAACAAAATGTGGAACGGTGATTCGATGGACAGTTATTCTGCCCCCAAACCAGTGATGATGGCTACGGACAACGCCATTACCTTGTGGACGGTTTTCTAAGGATCAGACATAAAGGGCCATTCTGCATGATTTCATTATAAGAAAATTCCAGAATAAGCAGATCCCTAGAGGGGAGAGAGCGACGGGAAGTTGGGACAATGGGAGATAACTGCTAAGGAATATGGAGTTTCCTTTTGGCACTGGTGAAATGTTATGAATTCAAAGTGACAGCTGCGCAGTCTGTTTAACCAAACACTGACATCCATCTTTGAGTCACGACTGCTGTGTCTGCATCTAAGTTGGTGCCTGCAAGTACTTCCACTGCTGCGTTCTAAATCTGTACACACAAGTCACTTACGGCCTAACACTCAAGGACCACAAATGTGAATTCATTTTAACTTATGAAGTCTTAGGACTTGAGAGCTAGAACCAAAAAGATGCTCTGACCCCGGCTCAGGACCCCACTGTTCGCTGTGACCCCAGCTTAGGACCCCACTGTTCACTGTGACCCCAGCTCAGGACTCCACTGTTGCCTCTGCCCTTCCTCAGCCTTCTCCATTCTTCGCTGGGTTCTTCACCCTCCTAGTTCCCCAGCCTGGACCATCAGTACTTCTGCTGATCCGTCCCTGACCTTCTTTTTTTTTTTTTTTTTTTTT